AGTATCATGGTCTTTATGGATGGATGGATGGGTGGATGGGTGGATGGGTGGATGGATGGATGGATGGATGGATGGATGGATGGATGGATGGATGGATGGATGAACGTGAAAAATAGCAGACCTGACTTGGTTTCGAACTATAAACTTGTACATGCAGCCCATGCTTGTCACCAGCTGTGACACAGTGATCAGTTAAAAAACAACAAAAACAACAAAAACACAGGAGGCGGTAGAGGCGTGTGAGTAGATCTACATGTCTGTATGAGATAAAGTGCATGGATCTGACGATAACAATGCACTTGGGAATGATTTAGACGCTAATTTTAACGGAGTAAAGTAACATCTATCTGATAAGAATGAGTCGCTCTTGAAAATTTGTAATTTACAGTGAAGTTTTTTAAATAACTATCTACATCTCATTTTTCATAAATTTACAACATAAAATGCAACGTACAGTACATTTGGTATGATCAATTTCGTGTGTTCTACGTAGAAGACACAGAATTTGACACGGAGATTTCTTTTCAAAGGTCAACCATGAAAAAAACAAACACTCACCGTTCACTTATTTTATTTATCAGATTTTGCCTATTTTCCTTTATACATTCACACCTGCAATTTGATAAAAGAAACTAACAAAAACACAATTGAGCAACAACAAAAAAAGAAAGAAAAGTGAAAGAAAAAAAAAAGAAAAGAAACAAGCTGTTAAGAAATAGCAGAAAGTCTAAATATATGAACTGGATGTTTTGATGTCTCGCAAACTGATGGCTCACGGGTATCTCTAAAGAAATCCTACGTTTTCCTGTCTGTCACGCTTTTCCGTTTGTCGACTGACTTTTTTTTACCTCAGCACCAAATGACATTTCCAGTATCGATCGTCTTTTCCTTGACTGAAAACAAAAAGAGTAATATATAAAAAGGATCTATATCTAAGACTCCCACCCACCCCCTAAAGAAGCAGAAAATAAACCAAAAAAAACCTCATCCTAGATCTATCAAAAACCTAAAACTAGAAGAAAATCATTACAGTGCAATACGGGTGGTCTAATGGTTTTTGTCTGCTCCCATTTGCGCTGATCTAAGCGATGCTCTCAGCCGGGAAAAATAAAAGATGAGAGATTACTACTGTGCTGCACTCCGCTTCAAACTTTTTGACCTTTTAGTTTTAGTTTACGAGAACTACGTTTGCCCTATTAACAACCCAATACCTCCACCCTACCCACAAACATGAAAGATATATTTCAAAACAAGACAAAAAAATGTCTTTTTTCTGTTTGTTAGCCTATTTCTTTGATCATGTGTTTACTTTAGAGTTTCAATTCTATCCTTTGATGTTTTAGTTTTCAAGGGCTTTTTCGGTCTAGGTAATTTCATATTTATTTATTTATTTATTTATTTATTTATTTATTTATTTATTTATATTTTTTCTGTGTATGTCATTGTGTCTACGTGTTTTTATTACTTTGCTTTCTCTTGGTTTTTAAGAAGTTTTCCTTTTGTTTTTTGGGGGGCTTTTTGTTTTTTGTGTGAATGTATGTATGTGTGGGGGGGTTGGGGGGGGGTATTGAGGCTGGTCTACCTTTTTTGCATCGAATAGGTCGTGTAGAAAACGTAGAAGCTGACAAATGAATAATGTAAAAAGGAAAAGATAGACTGGCAAGGAAAGAAAAAGATACTGACAGGCGTGTCAAAATTGACAAGGAGAACAAAAAGCCCGAAGAACAAAGAGTAAGACAAAGCCAGCCATAAAGACTGATATAAAGGAGGGATAGAGTAAGCCAGAATCAGTGGGACATACACAGAAGGATAAACGAGGAGAGAGAGAGAGGAGAGAGAGAGAGAGAGAGAGACAGAGAGACAGACAGACAGACAGACAGACAGACAGACAGACAGACAGA